TGCGTCTCTGTGCTAATGTACGACTGACTGAATTACTGATTCTAGCATTCTTATTCTCCGTTTCGCCATTGAACTCAGAAATCGGAAATTAGGCAGGCAGTTGCCAATTAAGTAAAACATTCTCGTATATAGTTTCTGATGGAAATTACTTGATAGCGATTGAGCAGAAAGATGGATTCGCAATCGACAGTTAATCTTGTTTCGCTTTTACAAGTGGATAAGTTACAAACAGATGTGCGTTTGTGTTGCTTTGTGGCTATATTTACGAGTGATTGATATGTTAACAGACACATTATAGAGGAGCGCTTACGTGCTTGCTAAAGAACTGCGATAGTAGATTGTAATCGTAGTTCATTGGTTATTTCTATCGATTGAACCAATGATTTAAGTTGAAATACTAATCAACATTGATATGAAGCATCCAATGTTCAAGCTCATTGAATAGTATGTGCACTGGTAACAATGAAGAAGAATACCTAAACTCCCAAATTTGCGGAAATTTTGGGGAAGAACCTGAAAATTTGTTTTGCACAAATTTATGGGCAAACATTTAATTACCAGTGCATTTTTAATCCTTTGAAGATGGAATTACAATTAATAAATATTAATTTTATCAGAAAGGGGTTTTGTGGAGATTTTCAGGGATTTTATGATCGACAACATGATTCGATTGAATATAGAACACCATGGAAAACCTGGAAGCTCTGGACAGTCATTTCGTCTTATTGTGGGACTCCTCAGCAGTGCGCGAATCTCGCGAGGCGGGATCGTGGATGCTCACTGCTGAGGAGTCTCACAATGAGACGAAATGGCCGTCCGTGGTGTTCTAGATTCTATTGATCCATGATTTCAACTATAAAAATAATAATTTCATTATTATCATGAACTTTGGTCATGAATACATTACCGATGTTGAAATTTTGTTGTAGTAGGTCAAACATAGACGAGGCATTGAGTTATCGGCTTTAGACTACTTTTTCAAAAATCTCCCGCCATGCAGGTTTTGTTATTCGTACTGTCCACAATTTAGGTCAATGCTTCTGTTCCGTCTGACTACAGGTTATTGTTTCTTTTAGACTAATAATGTAGCGCTTAATGATAATGATAAAAGACTAATTAAGGCCGACAGAGCACTGAAGTCTATGGGCTGTCTTAAATCAACTTTTTACAGAAGGTTGAAAAAGCAAAGGGTTCAGTTCAAGAATAATTGTATTTTAACGGCCACTGAATATGAGAACTACAGTTCAGTTGGTGTCGAAGAATTAGGGATCGCTGTAGCTGCAGAGTAGTGCATCGCGTTCGCCTCACAATCAGGCACTGTCTCATGTAGTTACGTCCAGTGTACACAGAGTACAATCAACGGTATAGTCTAGGTTTCTTTATTAACAAATTATAGACAGTGCAACTGACGAAATGTCTCCACCTCTTCATCTATCAATGAAGCAACAGCTATATAGAGTTGTAATTGAGATGATAAGAGAAGGTGACAATACGATACGGAAGGCGAAGGGGATTCCGGACTTTTACCGGATGTACGTTCCAGAGCTCCCCAAGTCAGTCAGAAGTGTACCACGTCGTCACAACATCGAACCGAAATTTCTGGAAACAGGAGTGTACTACTATATTCGATTGTAAACAAGTTTGCTGAGAATATCTGAAAAGTGCATTTGCAAAATTTGTTTCAGAAAACTGATGTTTCGACCAAACCACGATGGCTTGTCATGGTTCAAAAGCTCTAACCAACAGTTGGGGCCAATCCTGGGCTGCACAGTAGGTCCATCACTTAGTGAAGTATTCATAGTTGGGATCTGTGGTAATTAAGTAAAACCATCTAATTTCAACGAAATGTCCGCAACGCTTGTAACCGAACTACAGGAGTTCCTGATCATCTTGTCCATCGTACTTTCAATAGATTGCTTAGCATCAATACAACAAACAAACCTAAACAGAGGAGGGCATGTCGATCTATCCGATTTTTTTTCTAAGGCGCTGCACAAAGAAATATAGGGGTTGTTACATGGAGAACCAGGCAGGGATAGTGATATCTGCTGATAAGAGGCATAGGATTCGGAAGATAAAGGTTTATCATTGTCAGGTACTGAGTCGTCAATCACAGGGGTTACAGACTTTGACGTTTTGGTTGACTTGAAAGTTGGTGAAATGTCTATTTTACTAGAGTTACTTTCCATAAGTTGAAGCTGGGTGAGTAAAGAGCTTGTCTAACCAAAAGATAAAATCTGAGTATGTGGTTACTATTGCGTATTAACCGGAGTAATACCAGGATCAGGTACTATGAGTATGTAACGTATATCAGACATAAGGTGTTCATTTATGACGTAAGAGAGTACCGGTCAATGGAATATCCATATTTCAATTAGTATAATCCAAAGATAAATACACGTCAATGTCAATTGCTGGGAGTTTATATGAGATATACAGGAAACGAAGTCCACGATATATATGTATTAACTAGTAAGTGTCCGTAAAAATTATTTTCCTGGGGTGAAATAAGACCGATATGTGAAATAGGATGATAATCCAAGTATAATACAGTCTACAAAAGAATAAGAAGAATTTCTAAACCATGTGAAAATTTTTTACCAAAAATGCTAAACAAGTGACGAATCCTTTCGAACGAGATCCCGTAACTTTCTCAATTTATATGTATTTTGTAGAGTCGAATCACGTCAATTCAACGATTTAGGTGCCATCCTAAGTGGCCTAGTTTGATTTCCCCTTAAGCCCATGATCTAGCTACCTAATCCAAGTCTCTTTATAGTGTGACACCAGTGCTATTTTGAGTCACTGTCAGGTTAGCCAGACTTCTAGCTTGGTCATATTCTGTCTAAAGTTCCGACTCTGGTTTACTCGAAAAAGGAATATCCGGAAAATTCGCGGCCAATAATATTTGCTATGATAATTTTTATTGAGTTAAGTGATAATAATACTTCGAATTACCCCATAACACAATTTACCCTTCCAAAATAGTTCTGATGAAAGTGCTGTAGGGACAAGAACATGTTATTGAACCAATCGTCCATCAGGCCGAACCATTTCCACGTCAGCAGACAGTCCACTGATCATTGAACGATCAGTCAAACATCTTCACAGTTAAGGATTTGCAACGTGTATTAATCGACTGGATGCCATGAACCGACCCTTGAGAGAGTGTTCGAACTTCGTTTCTTAAGGTTATTTTCACTAATGTAGTTCTTTAGTGATGTGTTTTTCTTACAAGATCATCATGTAGCCACAGAACCCATATACCACGAAAGGGTGTTGTGCTAGGTATCAACCTCAAGGAGGTCACATCATTCCTGTCTAGACCCAGTAGACCATGAACATAGACAGACAACTTGCATTGGTCATCTCAACTCTGTAAGAGATAATTAACTTATCTCTATGATCTGTCTTCAGCTTCTCAAATAAAAAACAGTGCTCTTCCGCCCTTATGCCGGGCCGTTCCTTCTCCATTTCTCTTTTAGCATGTAACCATTACTTAGATTGTACTGGTCAAAATCAAGGTTAGGTTACAACCATCTTAAGTTACCGAGAAATTGTTGAGGAGTTAGTAGCCAGGTCATAACAATATGATTTGTATGACCAATGAGGTGTTAATGAGCCCCAGACAAATCATATGGTCGTCAGGCCATTCCATGACGAACAGTTCACCAATCCTCGTCAAAACCAAGGACAACCAACGCTGATCATTTGATTGCACTCTGTGGACTGGCCGATGCAGCAGTGATCACACTCTTACTGTTAGTTATGTCCACAACTAACTAATCATATCTTTGCTTAAGCTCCCACCACGTTATTCTGGTCTGATGTGTCTGTAAACTATCCCTCTGCATGTGACTTACCAAATGAAAAAACATTATTATCCTATTATGTTGATGTGACTCATAATTTTTATTTATTTCGATAAGACACGCAATACTGGTCGGTATGTTTGTGCGTTTCACTTAATGACTGTAATTCTTTAATTATCGTACTAATATGATTGTTTTTATGTTTAGAAACAGATAAAGCTTAAAGCCAAGTTGTCCTTGTTCTGACTTTAGCTTTCACATAGACTCTGGGATCGACAGTATCGCGTTTACCGTTTTAATAGTACATCTGTAGGACAAATTAAATCCTACAATTACTAATCTGTTTCTGTAATAACGTTGTTTGTGTTGTACCTTCATAAAAGAGGACATCGTACCTGGATATCACAAAAGGGTAATCCACGCTAGGCACTTCAATGTTAGGTAGTTGGTCACGCCATCCCATCTAACTCAAGTAGGTATCCGGATTACCTACGTTGGTGATGTACAGATTTTTTTAGCTATGTTTACTGTCACAATATTTTCTCATAATAAGCTAATTGAATCCAAATAATACTGCTGGCTCAGGCACACACATCTAGGTACACTGAGCCTTTTAGAAACTGCTTATCTTTGGTTGTAATAACCGTAATGGCACCACAATCTGCGTACTACTACTCACAGAAGTACGGATTACTTGGGAGCCGAAGATTTATCTTTTTACATCATCCAGTCATCGCTCGACCATTTTCAGAAGATTTGAAAAAAGCGTCCAAATTATAAGGTACTTACAAACATTCGAGCCGAAAAACGGAAACGAACTATCAACCGTTAATATGTACGAATATTCGACAAGGTTAGAACGAATAGTTTGACAATAATCGACCGTTAAGTTCAGAAAGCATATTAATCGAAAATACTTTTGTACAAAAATAATTACACAAACAAAATTCCATTATAACAAGATAGTTTTTAGTACCTTGTGTAAAGCTAAGTGGTCTTGATACGTAGTAAACGATCCAAAACTACAAAAATTTATTGAATTAAAAAAGGACAACCCCTCTATTAAATATCTCATCATCTTCACGACACCGTTCATTCGAAGTTCGGGATTTGCGACTAAACATCAAAAGGAGACTTAAAACTCGTAGCCTTATATTTTAGACCAACAACTGAAAATTCGATTTCACATTTTGTTTGTATCTTTTAGTTCGGTGTGCGGTTTAAAATCTGTTACCTGGCGGTTGACGTCGAAGCTGGTTTTCTGCCGCCAATCAGAAGTAAGATGTGACGTAGCTAGAATTTTCAGGTTTATTATGCATGTCAAGATATATTTTTCAATACACAAAGTCTTATCTTCTGATGTTTAGAGCTCGCGCTTTATGAGCGTGATTTGCATCTCAAACTTTTGTTGTGTTCTTGCACAGCAAAAGTACCATCTTTGACCCAAACCTTTGTCATAAGCTTGAAGTTCGGTAGATCACTGCTGTTAAAGTTAAAGTTAATAATTGACAACAGATTTAGAAACTAAGTTGCCGGACCAGAGTCAATAGTGTTAAAAGGCATCGATCACCGTCAGAAGTGTTAACCAGCCCCGGTCTTGTAAGAAAATTGGCTGTGCAGTCTATTCCTGGGATTGCACGAACTGTCAAGGGGAAAAGTCGGAATTCGGACAGCCTTCTGTCCGTCAAGTGGAAAGGACATCAACCCTAACCAATCTTCCTATGTGGGGGTTAATTTGACGAGACTATAACTTATGGACAACCTCTGAACGAAGCGTAAGTGACCTTAAGAAATATCAGCCAATCAGTAAACAGTCAGCATAGAGTATAAATATACTATACAAAACCAAATAATTGAAATGGATACACTTTTATGTAGTCCGAAAACTTGTCAAGGTTAGAAAGAGGTTCTTAAATCGTAATGCATAAGACAGAGGAAGTCATCTATATGGCTCCATACTAGTCGGTCTCTGGAGCCACTATAAAGTCACGAAAACCCACTCAGTATTGTTGGTGTGTACTCTGGTTTTGTAAGTTTATCATTTTTATTATGGATATGCCCCTACAATACTCATACCACTGAACAGCCGAAGTTTCAGTTACGGCTGCGATTATTGCAGCCAATGTTACTGGTGCTTTTATCATACAGTTCACGGTAATTATTATACTATGTCTTAGTCTCAATCTGGATCAAGCGAAAAAGCTTCCTATTCTAGCAGAAGTCTTGCTTCAACGTATGTTACATCGAAGGTTAACATCACGGTAGTCTGTACAGGGTCGACAAGTCATTTGATTACTACAATTACAAATAAAGGAACTTAGTAGTCACATTTATTGTAGCCGCCTAATTCTCAAGTCTTCTCTAAAATCCTCTTTGAACCAATCGTACATCAGCATCAGGTACTGAAATTGGCGCCGTGACCTTGAAATCCCTCAAAAGCTAATTAGCTCGTCCATAAATTATAGTCTCGCCGTAAATTTTGGCCATAAACTTTGGGGAAGTCTCAATAGAAAACGTTGATAAAATAGCGTAATAACCCTAAAATTTCTCCAGGCCTGTGGAAAATCTCCAAAGTTTTGTGGCTATCTTCAATATTTCCCTAGGATCTTATAACGCGGGCTTTTCCCCGAAATTTCCTCAAACTTTAAGGGTAATTACTAAGTTTTCACGACTTTTGGAAAAACCCTTAAATTTCCAAGTCTCCTCATAATAGATAGATTGGGTACTCCCGATTGACAATCTCGGCTCCTATAGAAAAGGCGACCGCGCTGTGTTATTCTTTGCTTTTAACAGTAGCACTGACCTAGAATGTCCCACCAACAACAGGCGTTAGAATTTCTAACGTTTGGGCGTGTCAGAGTTAAAGGACAATCTACAGTAGATGGAATAGAAAGCCCACTCTCAACTTGATATAGATGCTCATTGGGGTTTCTTGCGTGTTATAAATCAGCCTGTCCCGCAAATTGTCCTCCAAAACTGCAAACGTACAGTCGTAAGGAATCGAACTCTTCGACTACTAAGACTGGAAAAGCACTACTGAGAAGAGCCTAAACCAACTAGTAACGACAACACAAACAGTTTAGACAGCAAGAGAACCAGTGCGGTAAAGCGATAAGAGAAGATAGGCTCTAGTGTCAGATCAAGCTAATCGATAAATTTTTCTCCAATCCGTAAAGCTCGTTCACTCATGCAGCCTCTCTTCGACAAGACAGTCGGAGTTTCTCAGTTCTTAGACCCTAATAGCCCAACCAACAATGACGGGGTTGCCACTGAGCTCGTAACAACAGTACTTTCAAACATTTCAACAGTCACATACAAACTACGTCGATGAGGACCCCACCCGCAACTCAACAGGACTCTCACGATTGGACCTGAGGGCTGACTTGGTGTATTAGGAACTTTCCCTGACCGTATATGGACCCTTTTGCTTGACCGAGTGAAACGGCATCAATCTTAGCAACATCGCTCAGTGTAACATTCACACGATCGATAAGCCGAGGGATCGTCGCGTACAATCGGAAGCTGGCGCACACCTCACTAGTTTCCAAATGTTGTTGACGCGGTGAACTTTCAAGCTACTGACTGGTAGCACTTCCCTTAGTAATAACAAAAGCTATAGAATCCTTGATATATGACAGGCTACGTGACTACTCGTTATCCGTAAACTTCCTTCACCCCAGCTATACCTGATGAACGCGGCGGACAAATGGTCAAACATTCTTGATCTCAGTGGGAAGGTTGATGTGTACCTCGACTTCGCAAAAGCTTTTGATAGGATCAATCATGTATGTTTCATCAAAAAGATCAAACTGTTAGGTATTGTCACCTCCGTTACATACGTACCTTTGTTAACCCTCGTGTAGGAGTATAGGCTGCCCAACGGGATTCTCCATCAAGCACTGTCCTGGAAAATCCTTTCCAGTCCATATTTCATCGTTTTGATGTCTGCTTCCAATACCCGGCACAGTGTTTTCTTCGGTCTTCCTCTTTCCCCTTTTCTATGAGGATTCTAATTTAACGCTCTCCTCGCGATGCAGCCTGATGATCTCCGTAATGTATGTCCTATCCAGTTCCAGTGTCTTTTTCGTATTCCATCCTCAATTGGAATCTGACATCGAAGCTAAGCATCCACTCAGTCCTTTGTTCGGCTAAAGAACACTTAAAAGATTTTCCTCGTACTCATAGTATGATTCCTCACACTTGCTAAAATCCTTCTTTGGCATCTCGATAAGCTGTCCCTTTCTACAGTCTGTCGACACTTGTTTCTCCGAAATCTTTCTGAATATGGTGTGGAACATCTTCGTAGTTCAGTCAGTCAGTTACGACGTAGAACTTCGTACGTACGTACATCAGTTCGTAGTTACCTCTATATCTGACTTCAGTGCTTCAGCTGCTATGTTGTCTGGTCCTTCTGCTTTTCCACTCTTGATTTGTCCGATCGTCATGCTGATTTCTTCGATCGTTGGTGAAGTGACAGCTATAGAAAGATCTATGTGTGCTGCTTCGATGTCCAGTAGGGCTGGTCTATAATCGGGAGTTCTTCGTAGTGGTCTACCCTGCTGTTCTTAAATCTCAGTGATTGGTTTGCCTTGTTTGTCCCTGACTGGTCTCTCTTGTTTAATATATTCCCCTCCTAGTTCATCCATTGTGTCATATAGTTGTTCCATACTTATTTATTATTTATTTATTTAATCACATATTGGTACAAAGGGCACAGGATAAATATGCGCCACACTTGTGTGAGGGCTGTGATACTGCCCGGGTGCCCAAACCGAAGCAGGTGGTTTTCCTAGGGGACCACACCCGGAGCCTTTGACCTGAAGGTCTGATCCACAAGGCAGTGGAGCATCGTGAGGAGAAGCAGTCCCATGGTAGCCGGTGACCATACGCCATTTGTTCCCTCAGGATACTGGAGCCCATGTGCACCATTGGTTTGGAATGAGGGTTTTCCAACTCCCCTAGGTAGACACTCCACATCCACCAACCCGGTTAAAGCGCCGGACATTCGATTTTCGTCCTCTCACTTTTGTGAACAACACCCCCGCCACGAGAAGGCAGTGAGTAGTACTTCCCTAGCAGGGGCTATGTACGCGTAGCCAACTGAGAGCATTTCGAGAGAGAGAGCAGACTCTCCTCACTCTCGGCCGTACCAAGGCATTTGGGGGCTCCCTTCTCTTTAAGCTTTTTTCACCATCGCTTCTATGTTTTCCACGTCTTTCTGCTTGTCAGCTCTAATGCTCCTTTCAACTTGTTTGTTTGTTTCTGTTTGCTCAGTTCGACTTTCTCTGTTTTTGTTCGGCTGTCGTTAACTGCTGTCCTCTTGTCCTTCCTTTCTTGAATCCTCAGGGTTTCGATGAAGATCCATCGCTTATGATGATGCTTCTTGAGGTCTTTAGCCTCCTGATACGTTGAAGTTAGTGCTTCTTTTATCCCTTTCCAGTTGTCCTGCATAGTAATTTCTTCTTCTTTGAGTAGATCTTGTATGGCTCGAAACCTGTTGTTGAGTGCTATCTTGAATTCGTTGAGTTTGTTAGTATATCAAAGGAAAACTGTATTGAATCTTTGTAATTCTGTCTCTCCAGTTGTCTTGCGCTTCTTTAGCTTCAGTTTCATCTTGGCAATAACTGGGTGGTGATCTGAGGTTATGTCAGCTCCTTTCCTGGTTCTCACGTCTTCCATCGACCTTCTGACATTTTAGTGATGCAAATGCGACCGGTTTGGTTCTGTGTAGCGTGATCCGGTGAGACCCACGTAGCTTTGTGTATGAGTTTGTGGGGGAATATTGTGCCTTCTATAACCATTTCGTTGAATGCATATAGGTTTGCGAATCTCTCAACATTCTCTTTCCTTTCTGCCAGTCCATATTTATTATTTATTTATTTAAACACATAAATATTGGTACAAGGAAGCACCAGATAAATATGCGCCTCACAAATCTCATTCAATTTGTGTGAGGGCTGTGATACTGTCCATGTGCCCAGACTGAAGCAGGTGGTTTTCTTAGGGGACTACACCCGGAGCCTTTGACCTGAAGGTCTAGTCCACAAGGCAGTGGAGCATCGTGAGGAGATGCAGTCCCATGGTAGCCGGTGACCATACGCCATTTGTTCCCTCAGGATACTGGAGCCCATGTGCACCATTGGTTTGGAATGAGGGTTTTCCAACTCCCCTAGGTAGACACTCCACATCCACCAACCCGGTTAAAGCGCCGGACATTCGATTTTCGTCCTCTCACTTTTGTGAACAACACCCCCAGGCAGTGAGTAGGACTTCCCTGTCAGAGGCTATATATTCGCTGGCCAACTGAGAGCATTTCGAGAGAGAGAGAGAGAGCAGACTCTCCCCACTCTCGGCCGTACCAGGGCATTTGGGGTTAGGATTCTCATCACAATCTGACACCAACGGCAGTTTAATTTTTCTAAAGTACATGCTGTAGTTCTTAGTGTTAACATGACAACTTGTTCATTTACCCTGTTTCATGGTGGGTTAAGACATCAGGGTCGTTTGGCGTTATAATTTATGTTTTCATTAGTTGCAGCTCAGCTAATCCGCAGTTGACTAATCTATTTCGGATAACATGACAGTTTCACTAATACACTAACGCTCATTATTATCAAAGTAACAGTCTGGGCACACGGACAGAATCACAGCCCCACACACAAATCAAGTGACTTGTGTGGTGCATATGTATTCGGTGCCCCTTTGTACCAATATTTATGTGTTCAAATAAATAAATTATTATCATGGTATCATTATGCTGTTTGTCACATAGGGCAATTAGTATTTTGTGTTGACTTTTCCATTCAATTTATAGTTATGGTGGGATTATTGTGATGGCCTTATTGAACTATGCTTTGCAAGCTGAGTGGTATAGTTTTGGGTATAAACTTGACGTTTAAACATTGTCATAAAAATGTTGCTATTGTGTCGTGTTGAGATTTTCTACTAACAATATTACTTTTCTGGAACTTTAATAAACATTTTTTGCATTTTTGTTTGCCAGTTTAGTTTATGGGTGTAGTTTTACATTTATTAGCCATTATAAGCTCAATGGTTTTTCTATTGTGATTACAGCCTTAAATAGATCATTGCATTGGACACAACCCTCTTAATAACTAAGTTAAATATTTATGTTAACTCTACAATGTGATGTTCCTAATTCAGCTTTAGGAGCGATTACACATGATTCTATTCTATTATTTTATAGTAACCTGTTCAGCTACAGGCTAGTCTATAGAAACTACTTCAGGTGTCAATCAATCAAGTTACTAGTGACTACCCGTATTGCTTACTAGTAGTCTTAGACTACATATAAAGGCCTGTCTCATTCGTTTAGTTTGTGCTTACCACTGCACTACCACTCACTCAATACGTAACCTACATTAGTTTCTATCCTTCGTGGTAGTTAAATGATCGAATAATTATAAAGTAAGCTTTCTCAGTTTCACATGCTACAGGTTGTTCACTCATTTCAAAAACGTAGTATCTATCTCCCATCTTCATTATCCGTTTCGTCTTGTTTATCACGAGCTTCTGTTTGCGATCTCTTCAGTTTATTTGTTTATTTATTTGACCACATAAATATTGGTACAAGGGGGCACCAAATACATATTCGCCACACAAAATTACCATTTCATTTTGTCTGAGAGCTATGATACTACCCGGGTGCCCAGACCGAAGCAGATCTCTGTTCAAACTCACAATCAGTTGAACAATAATAATTCATGTCACAATTCATAGCAACAAATATAAAGTCAATTCAATATAAAAGAATGACACGAATGAAAAAGAGGTTAGATGATGGTTGTTCAGTATTTGGGTGACAGTGAATATATCTGTGCCATTGTGACTAATTCTTATTCATGTTACGTCTGATATCCTAATATTAATTTCTATCATCCCTAAGTCTCCACTAACAAAGTTTTCAACTTCTTTTAACGATTACACAAATTACTGTCGTGTTCTACTCTGCCTTAAGCTTTCTTCAACATAATTTTGCTTCAAGTAGGGTTGCGACTTGAAATGTGTGACGTATAACCTAGACACAATTAATGGACAATTACAGAATTTCCAATCAATCTTATCTAAAATTATGCATTTGCTAGGTTTTAAGCACATACCAACATGCATCTAAAATACTGCTGCTTGCAACTGTATTCACTCAGCTGAACTATGCTAAGATATCTTTACGTCAACATGAGAAAAATTTAAGTAGTTAGTCCATTTGATAAATTTTAGCTTTGCAATATAAAAATAAAGCTTACCAAAACTATGTGATGTATTAATCTAATATATCTCAAACAATCTGATTACATATGTACCTGTTCAGACACTTGTAAATGAACATCAAAGGGTCAACAATAACGAAATACCCGAAAAATAAAAGTGATATTCCCAATAGTGATGGGTAGTCAAAAGTCCTTCAGTTAATAACTTTTAAGAGAAGACAAGGTGTTTATATTGATACGGTGCTCATAAATACAAAATCCGCTGAGTCTACGAAATTCCTCTCTGCCAACGACAACGAGGCCTCTCATTTCTATACCAAAGTCCCTTCAAACAAAAACATTTGAATGACCTTATGGACAACTAAATTCAGATGAAAGACCTTCAGTCGATCTCTGTTAGTCGTTTCCGGTAGCGTGATGTACTTGGTTTCGTTAACAGGATGGTTCTCTTCTGTAGGAGTCATTCCAAAATGGTAAGTTCAGTACTCCACTAATATTTCTACCTCTATAAAATGACCACGTCTTCAGATATACACAAGATAGATTATATAGCTTATATCCGGTGGGATAGGGTGTATACTTGATGTTTGAATTGTATGTGCACTTTCTTGAGTCATTGCGTATTGTAAGATTTAAGACGTAGTTTTATCCTATGGAATTTACCCTTTCTGTCCGGCATAGAGTTCACATACTAAAGATGTGTTTTTTACTTACGGTTTATATGTCTAATTGTTTGTCGATTGCTCATTTATGTTAGCTTTGTTTTGTATTAATGTAGGTACAATTAAACACAAAGGAAACGTACAATCACACAATCTTACCCATGTATCTTAGTTTATTCGTGTTTAATCTTCTACTGGGATTGTCAGTTGGTTATCCTAGTCGGTTGACTTTCGAGTTACCTGACAATGAAGGTATTTGCTTCTATGAAGATCTTCCAGCTTCGAAAAAGTACGTATTTAGCTATCACGTTATTCACGGAGGTCAAACTGATGTTGATATCGTAATTAAAGATCCTAAACAAGTGATTATTTCTAATGTTGAACGTGGTTCAGACGACGATATCACCTTCACAACAATTCCTTCTAATGGCACTTATTCTTTTTGTTTCAGTAATGAGTTCTCTTCTATATCGCACAAACTTATATATTTTGAAATTCGACCGGAAGATTTTGAATCATTAGCTGAAGAGGCTGGGTTACCGGTTTTTCCAACTGTGATGACTTTATTGGATAGTGTTGTGGAGGTGTTACATCATTATCTGTCACGGGCTGAAAGTTTCGGAATCGAGTTGAAAAATCGTGATTATGGTGATTTCTTAGTAGCGGAAGATTTGAATTCAGCTGTTTTTGTTTGGAGTGTCATTATTACATTTGTTGTGATAATAACTTCAGTTGGACAAGTCACAATATTAAAGAATTTCTTCAGCGAGAAAAAAGTTGCTTATTCGGCAATCCCAACAAGTTATCCTACCCATACTTTAAGAACATGATTTGGTGCAAATTCTAGCATTATTTCTGCCTTATAGGATAGTTGGGATTAGTCGATGACAAGCACGAGAAATATCGACTATTTTCTGACTCCCGTCCAACTTTATTTTTTTTGTCAGTCGATTCTTACCCATTTTCTAACCAAACTTTCCAAATTGTTAACCTGTACAGCTTCGGTTTTTAAAATTTTGATTTGTATTTTAAAGTTTGTTTTGTTCTTGTGTTGATTTGTTTCTCTCAAACACATTAGTTTAGTTCATGTTATGAAAAACATTTTTTTGGTTACTCAGTATATGATGATGACCAGTGATTGTTAGTTTTTTTTAATGAAGAGTTGCATTGTGTCTGACGTTTACATGGCTGACGTAGCTGACAACTGACCGCTAAAACTATCTGATAAGTCTTTGTAATTGAACGCTATACTCGGACCCTAAGCTAGTCTCGTAACCTCCAAGCTAAATCTGCACATCGACTTGAACACGAGAGAAAAGGCTCAAAACATGCGATAAGCACTTTACTACAAAGGTTCATTTATATACAGAAAATATAATGTTTTTATAGTATTTTAGAAGTCATTGGGTTTTCCTAAAAATTCTGGAATGCTACTAGACATAGCAGCAGTGTAGTAACCAGCCAATCAGAAACTCTGCATGTGACTTTTAATTTTCGTGATGTTTCTAGTAAAACTTCTAGTCGAACAATGATTGAATAAAATGTAATGTTTCCTGAGCTTGTCATGTCTGTCGCGAGAAATTTTCTGGATCATCCCAACACTATCGGTAGTCTACTTTGTCTCTGCATATTATATCATATTTTAGAGCATCATTCATGTTATTTATTAAGTCTTTACTGCTTACAAATTTGGCTAGTGTAAGAATGTAAACTATTTCTAGGTATCCACTTTCCCCTCTTGACTTACATGAAAATTTCTTCACTACACGAAGCTACTGATTAGAGGCTTCTTGAGTAAGGGTGTAGCATGAAAAAGCTCTGTGGAGGCTAAACTCTTTGTATACTCAGCTGTAGCAGGGTTTCTGATGTATAGTATGCCTTCGATTGTTGCTTCACGAACGATGCAAGCGTACATCAAATCATGATAGAAAATCTGATGCAGTTTTGAGATATTCTAATTTTTTTTAATAATTGGAACAATATAGTAAATATAAGTGCATCAAATGAAAGCTAGGATCATCGTGAGACAAAAAGTCCACTCAATCAGCTTCTTACCGTGAAGATACGACCAGTATTATAGTTTTATAACTATAAACCAGTAACACCTATATTGGAATCGTCCCCCAATTAGTTAAAACCAGAAGTCAGATGCGAAGAGATTGGAAAGATATATTTGATTCGTTATCAATATATCGAGAAGCGGTTCTGACTAGTAAACGTAGGAGCCGTTTCCCACGCTGAGTTGTAACGTGATATGGTACGGATGCATTGCCGAAAGCCTTCAGTTAAACAAGTCCACTTAAAACAATGTGGTCAGCATCCAATGTCGTACACTTAACAAGTTATTGATTTTGGGGAATTATTTACAGCTACAACCGAATTTCCCATGTTATTGTGTGGTGTGTGCTACTGATCTTGGCCGATATTATTAGTATGAAGCATCAATCGAAAGTGAAATGCATGGTGACAGAAGGTTAACATTTAAAAGAACAGAGTGGTTGGTGTGAAAACTAATAGACGACAAAATCTGAAACAATTGATTGACATTTCGCAAATGACTGTATGGTTATCAGACTTTACGAAGATATTCTGTAATGTTTCATTGAAATACATTTAGTAGTCCCCACTTGTTTTTTTCGTTCACTAAAACTGTACGAGATATGATTTGTTCAATCAATTTATAAACTTCTAATGAAATTTCTTGTAAACCTATTGAATGAATCAAGTCATAATCGGAAATTTAATAGATACTGAGTTTTCTACTGATCCAACACTTTCCAATGACATTCTTAATAAACTTGGTGAAAATACTTCAGAAGAATCAAATCTTATTGTTATGTCAAATTTTATTTATCTTCATTATGCATCTGTTTCTTGTGAGAAACGTCCAATGAGAAGTACGAGTCTAGAATGAGCTCAATTTTGTTTACGATTCTAATGATTTCATATTGACTGTGGTTTGTGCTTATCATAAAGTCACTTCTAATGAATCCTCTAATCAATGGGAAATATGTTTTAAATGAAGCCACATCATTCATAACTTGGAGATATGAAGATCCAACATTATTTCGTGGGGGGGATAGTGCTGAAAAAAAATGTTGGATTCTCATTTAAGCTGTGGCGGATGTGGTGTTTGTATGAACTAATGATCCCTTTGTATTTGATGACTGCTTGATTTCGAATTCCAAATACAACACATTCATTCGTGCTCACCTAGTTCATTCCGAATTGAGTTGCTGTTTCTGGGATTCCTAGTTTGTACAATAAATCAAATACTTCTTATCATCACAGTGTGCCGCTTCGATGTCCAGTAGGGCTGGTCTATTCAGGAGTTCTTCGTAATGGTCTACCCACCTGTTCTGCTGTTCTTAAATCTCAGTGATTGGTTTGCCTTGTTTGTCCTTGACTGGCCTCTCTTGTTTAATATATTCCCCTCCTAGTTTATCCATTGTCTCATATAGTTGTTTCATACTCCCATCTCTTTAAGCTTTTTTCACCATCGCTTCTATGTTTTCCACGTCTTTCTGCTTGTCAGCTCTAATGCTCCTTTCAACTTGTTTGTTTGTTTCTGTTTGCTCAGTTCGACTTTCTCTGTTTTTGTTCGGCTGTCGTTAACTGCTGTCCTCTTGTCCTTCCTTTCTTGAATCCTCAGGGTTTCGATGAAGATCCATTGCTTATGATGATGCTTCTTGAGGTCCTTAGCTTACACAGTGAGCACACAACTCCACTCAGGATCGAGCTCATTTCACAGTACAAAAACGATACTATTTTAGACACATAATGGTTACTATTCGGAGTTTAGTCGGTTAGTACTATAGAACAACCTTCTTGAACTGTCATTTATGGGTTTGATACACACTTCATGTCTTGTCACCACTGAGTACATTTTTATTATTCAGTAAAGACATTAAGCACAAATCATTAACTATAAAATCCCACAGAACAAATAAGTTAAATTAGATCAAATTTTCCTGTTGTTCTGATATTATTAGCTCAACCGTTTCCTATTTGCTTGCAAACTACCATTTTAAATATCAATAGTGTAAATGTTTCATGTTTTCTTTCCAAAATCAGAAATCTCATTGTGTTCTTTTCACGTGTCCGAATTCCTGGTTTTTATTTCAAATTTTTATAAGTTGTGTAGGTTATTGATTCAAAGTAATGAATGAACAATACAATGTTACAGTGTTGGTGAATGAGAAAATATCATTGGGTATTGAACATTTCTCATATATCATTTTCGATTGTGTCACATAAATACATTAACGATTCTTTAGTTTCTTAATTAATTTCTTTCATGTCATGTTTGAGAAATTCATTTTTGATCTCAGAAAATTGCCAACATCCAAAATGCATTGATAGTCAAAATCCAATAAATTTCCAACAATTTCTTGCTATCCTTTTAAATAAACTTTGATTATTAACTAAATCAGTTTCTCATTTTATGGGAGTATTCAAAATAAAACCTAAAATTAGTATATAAAATCAATGAGCATCGGTTTGAGCAGTATTGTTAGGTATGGGCTATCTTTGGTTGGGGTCCAAGTGATGATCTTGATCAACAGTTGGAAATATTAAGTTATGTAGCATCAAAAAAAAATCAAACTGCCTTAAATGTATCCATTCTTTGACTTCCTTAAGATCTTGGGTTTCGGTGTTATTTTCGTAGTAGTTGAAACGTTCAACTTTTTCCACTTAAACCCAAATCACCTTCGGTTCGGGCGACCGGATAGCATAAGTAGACCTCACACTTGGAGTATGGCCCTTACCCTAGGCACCTGACACATATTGTTTGATATTGTAAATTACTGTAGAGGAAAATAATTATTAGAAGTAATCTGAATAGATTCACTTCCATTCACATAAGCATTTGAGTTTCATTACTCAGAGATATGATTCATTTAGAACCGAAGAACTGTACAACTTCATTCAATGCAATGACCAGTAGTACCAGTTCCCAATCTAATGCGTAAAATAGTCTCTGAGGTAGAAGTAATGAGTTGTATTGAAAACAAATCGGAGGGTTTGTTGTTTGTCATTTATCATCAATTTTGTTAAGTGACATAGCCAGAACTTAGTGTTTCCAGCTGAACAATTGAGTGACAGCTTTATTAAAAATCCAGACACTTTCTGGTCACAAATATTTAGAAGTACCGTTTACATTTCTCATAGATTACTTCCAAACATCCAACATTGAAACCTTTTGTCCAAGATTCTTATATTTTATGTTAAATTTAATTATACTAGGCTACTAAAACTACTTTTCTTAGTTTACCATTCAAAGTAAGAGGGGTCTCTTAAATAAATAATTACGGAATAAAACTCCACAAAGCTCCAGTATCCTGAAGGAATAAATGGTGTATGAACCAATTGTTGGTCACCGACTACCATGAAACTGCGTCGCTCAACGTTGTTCCACTGTCTTGTGGACTAGACCTTTAGGCCGAAGGCTGTGAATGTGACCTTTCTAAGAAAACCACCTGCTTCAGTTTGGGCACCCGGGTAGTATGCTAGCCCTTATAAAAATCAGATGATTTATGTAGCTCATATCTCTTTTGCGCATCCTTGTTTCAGTGCTTACGTGTTTAAATAAATAAAAGAATTGAGTAGACGCATAGCTTTTAGGTCAACAAGCTGAATCCCGTAAAGATCGGTCGTGCACAGACCAAATCGCGACAATACGGATCATCATTGAACACTCGATTGAATGGGATTCGTCACTATACATCAACTCCATCTATTAGGAGAAAAGCGTTAGACAGTGTGAATAGCAGAACATTATGGAAACGTCTTCGAAGTACCAGAGAAAGTCGTCACCATCATGCGGAATCCTTACGATAGACTATACTGCAAAGTCGTGCATGAATGGCAGCTTACGAATGCATTCCGAGTTAGGAATGGTGTCAAACAAGGCTTTTTACTCTCGCCTTTTCTTCATTCTGGTGGTTGATTGAATTGTGGAAACCCCAACATTTGACGGGAGACAGTATACAATGGACAGCTTGGATGCAACTAAAAGATTTGTATTTCGCAAATGACCTGACTCTTCTATCCCATACACAAAAACAAATGCAGGTGAAGACAATCAGTGTTGCAGCAGACTCAGCAGCAGTGACCCTCAACATATACATGGGAAAAAGCAAGATCCTCAAGTATAACATGGAGAACATCAACACAATCACACTTGATAGACAAACTCTGGAGGATATGGAAACTTTCACACATCTGAGCAGCGTCATCGATGAACAAGGAGGATCTGATGGAGATGTTAAGAAAAGGATTGGTAAACAAAGATAGCATCCCTACAATTCAAGAACATATGGAACTCAAAACAACTGTCAACCAATACCAAAGTGAGAATCTTCAATACGACCGTCAAGACAGTCCTACTGTACGGAGATGAAACTTGGAGAACTACTACAGCTATCATAAAAAAGTTACAAGTATTTCCAAACAATTGTCTACGCGAGATACCCTAGGTCCATTGGTCAGACACCATCAGCAACAACCTACTGTGGGAGAGAACAAGTCAGATTTACATTGAGAAGGGAATAAGGAAAAGCCTATGGATGTGGATAAGTCTCACTTAACAGAAACCAAACTGAATCAAGAAGGAATCCTAATTTGGAATCCTCAAGAGAAAAGCAAAATAGGTAGGCCAAATTACACACTGAACTGGTAATTGGAGGCAAACATAAGGGAATGCACAGCACGTGACAGCAACTGCAAAGGATAGCCCATGACAATTGGTTAGAAAATCATGTTCAGCCGCCTATGAAAAACATTTTGAACGGTAATTTTCTTAGTTATTCACTGAATGTATGGACGTTACCACTTTATTTTTCGACCCACCTATATAGCGGTTTCATTACGTAACTATATGTGAGTTAGAAAATAGTATGACTTTCTGCTTACACCACTTCCCAAACTCAGTTTGGCTACATGTAAACGGGGATATTTCTGTTCCCATATATCTCTGATCGCAGCAGATAGTAAGGACTCCTGAACCTAATATAATACATATTTAGATATACAAGACTGTTTATGTTTCAATAGGAGTATTCATAAAACAGTAAATCAGTTACATTTGTTAATTATAATCGTTTATTATTATGATGATGTAAGTTTTGTTCATATGTGAATTGATTAAATATTTCCAGTATTCTCCAGTTTTATTTACTTAAATTTAACTATTGATCAGTATTAACAAAATGGGTGAAATCAGTGTATACAGATAAAGTTTTGATCCCTTTTTGGTGCTGTTATAATGGTAGGATACTTGTTATAACAATCCTTTCACTTTTTACACGTATGTGGGACGTTAATTTACCATAGACGAATATCTACACTAGATTCCTTCCCAGTGTCTATTCTACAAGACTTTAGCGCAACTCAGACCAAGAACACGAGATTAGTTTGACTAGGAATAACATTAAAATGACGGCGATTTTTGTATTTTTTTAAAATAATTTTTTTTGTCATCCGCTTTTGAAAAAAAGTTTTCATCCCATTTTCCAATTTTTTTCATTCCGTTTCGTCCGATTAAACTGCTAGTTTTAAATTCGTTATAATTGGTTATTTATTTCTTAAAATCTGTTTAAAATGTCTGCACTTGACGATAGAGATAATTTTCTTCACATTATGGACGATAGTAACGTACAAAGTACTAGGTCAGTTGTTCCTCACGTTGTCACAGAAACGGATAATGTATTTTTGAATACATTGTATCTGGTAGCGCTCCCATCACTTGAAGCGTTAAAGAGTGCCATTAAAACTTATGAAAGAAATGTGGAAAGGTAAATAAAAATATGCATTAATCTTTTGTAGTTTCCGAAGATATCCGTCAATAATCGAAGCAGCAGACGGGAATTTTCACCGATATGCGAGAGATCACTTATTGTCTAAAAAGCACAAATGGTCAAATGCTTTTCGACCCGCAGCGATGCCTCTGGATCAAAGCAACAACAATTTCGTTGGGACGACTCATCGAATTCTGAAGCTGCATAAGCTGAACAATGCCGGAGGACTTGTTCAGGGCTGTTGACACTACAGGCACTTACACAGTCTCCTGAAATCCTATCAATTTTTCGTGTGATTTTACATTGAAAACGGAATTCCATGTCACTACATTTTGGCCTACTATACACACAGTAATATTGAAGTAGACACAGAATTAATTAGTGACAGATTGTCACAGTCTGACAGCTACATCACCAGTATTGCGATTGACAGTAACAGCAAAGATACTCCACATTCTCTTCAGTAAAATTTGGGATGAAGAACAAGTACCAACAGAATGGAAAGAAGGACTTCTGATCAAAATACCAAATAAAGGAGATCTCAGCAAGTGTGAGAACTACAAAAGCATCAGTCTTCTCTCAATATCAAGGAAACTCTTCAACAGGGTATTGTTAAACAGAATGAAGGACTCCGTAGACGCCCAACTTCGAGAACAACAGGCTGAATTTCGTAAGGATCGATCATGTACAGATCAAATCGCAACACTACGGATCATTGTGGAACAATCAACTGAATGGAATTCATCACTCTATATAAACTTTATTGACTATGAGAAAGCATTTGATGGCGTAGACAGGACAACACTTTGGAGATTTATTGTCGCTATATGGATGATACTTTCATAGCATTACAAACAGAACATGAAAAAGAAAACATACTTAATATATTTAATAACACCCACCCATCAATTATTTTTACACTGGAGGAAAAACAGAATGATAGTATATTGTTTCTAGATGTCCAACTAGCTAAAAGAGTAGATGGAACATTAAAAAAAGGGTTACATAGAAAGTCTGCAGTAGGACAATACACTCATTTCTATAGTGCAGTACCAATGAAATACAAAAGAAACTTAATAAAGATCCTAACTCATCGTGCTAGAATGATTTGCTCTGATGACATTATTTTATATGAATTGGTTAATATTCGCAACTTGCTTAGTAGGAATGGTTACACAATGAAATTCATCGACAAACACATGAAGGAGACGAATAGAAGGATAAGGGTACCTACTGTTCCGAAGAAGGTACTGTTCCTAAAGTTACAATTCTTAAATGATGCTACGAAAGAAATTTTGACACAGAGGTTAAGAAAGGCAGTACAGAAAACATTTAACGCAGCTCGACTGAGTACCGTCTTCTACAACCGCCCCACAATAAGAACGGTTAATAAAGACAGGTTGCTTGAATTCGCCACATCTATATGTATTTACCAATTCAACTGCTCCTGTGGAGCCAGTTATATAGGGCGTACAATTCGGCAAGTTCGCCAACAGATAACAGAACACCATCCGTCGTGGTTGAGCAAAGGATAGGTAAAGGTGATTAAGAGTTCTATTCTCACTCACTTGGTGGACACAGGCCATCAAGTTGAACTGAATAAAGCTTTTATAGTTTTCTACCATA